CCTAAACCCTAAACGGCCTCTCCCTCCTAAATCGGCTCACATCTCCGGGAATGTGGAGGAGCCTAGTACTGGCCTGTAGCCCATAAACCTTTTTGGGGTTTAGGGTTTAGGGTTTAGGATTTAGGGTTTAGGGTTTAGGGTTTAGGGTTTAGGGTTTAGGGTTTAGGGTTTAGGGTTCAGGCCCAAGATGGACTAAGTCCCGAGCCAATCTGAACCCTACGAACGACCTAGGGGCCGAAACCCCGAGACCCAAAAGTGCTCTAAGGCGCCAAAAAACCTCGGGCTTTTGGGTTGACAGGGTTGTCGGGTTTACACCGTTTTCGGGCACAGAGTTTAGGGTTTAGGGTGTGCAGGGTATAGAGGGCTTCGGGTGGCGCAAGGTTTACACGGTTTAGGCATTAGGGTCCCACATTACCCGATGCCCTTGAAGCTACCCTAAACTCTGAAACCCCAAACCCCGAAACCGTAAACCCTACACCCTAAACCCCAAACCCTAAGGCGTAAGCCCCGAACCCCAAACTCCAACCCCTAAACCCTGAACCCTGAACCCTAAACCCTAAACCCTAAACCCTATCCAGGCTCTTGCTTGGCTTTCGTGGCCCCAGGGTGATTGGGTTTAGGGTTAGGGCAAAGTTTGGGGTTTGAGGTTCAGGGTTTGGGGTTTAAGGTGGGCAGGGCTTGGGATGTTTACCTGTGCAGATGTGTCGGCAGAACGCAGTACACCGCTTTGGGGATCCTCCATGTCTCCCCGACTTTACAAAAAACAAATTGGACTTAGTCAAGGCTTCTGTGGGCCTTACTTTGGGTTCAGGGTTTAGGGCTAAGGGTTTAGGATTTAGGGTGGGGGTAGTTTAAGATCCCAGAGTTATACATACCCCCTTGAACTCCCTCCCTTAAGAACTCTACAATCACTTGTCTGGCAAGCAGAAGGCCGCCTTCTCAAAGTTAACTGCTGATCTAGCCGATCTTCTTGATGTAGGTTTTAGGGTCTAAGGTTTCAGAGATTTTGCGGTTTCAAGGTTTTAGGGTGGGATGTTCGCTCTTATACAAACAGTCCAAATAAAAGGATTATCGTACCCCCCTACTAGAATCCCTATTAAGGACTGTTAGGTACAAGGGGGAACATCTCAACCGATAACCCTAAACCCTAAACCCTAAACCCTAAACCCTAAACCCTAAACCCTAAACCCTAAACCCTAAACCCTAAACCCCCTGATTTTAGGATCGAAGTGCTAGGGCTTGAGGGGTTTTGAGCTTGAGCAGCAGCAGCAGCAGCAGCAGCAGCTGCCTCATCTGAGGTTTCTCGAAGGGAATAGACGGGTGGCCTCAGCTGACCGAAGCCAGACGCCCAAAATACCCTCCCTCCCAAATAAGTGATCATCATTCTTATTATCATCATCAGTATTTTTATTTGTATTATTATTGTTGCTATTATTATTATATATGTATAATAAATAAAGAAATATATATATATATATATACACGAAAAATCGTTCAAAACCCTTTTTCGGGTTTCGGCATTGGGGTTGAGTGCCTAGTGTTGTTCAGGGTTTATGGGGTTTGGGGTCTACGGTTGAAGGCTTTAAGGTTTAGGGTCTGTCAAACGACCTCAAGTGGGACAGCTGGCTCTGCACGCCGAGGTTCTCTGGCTTAGAGACTCCCAATGAGACCACCTACCAACCCATTTAGGGTTCAGGGTTTAGGGTTTAGGGTTTAGGGCTTGGGGTTTAGGGTTTAGGGTTTAGGGTTTAGGGTTTAGGGTTTAGGGTTTAGGGTTTAGGGTTAGGGTTTAGGGTCTAGGGTTTAGGGTTTAGGGTTTAGGGTTTACTCAAGCTTGCGATAAGGGAACCCCTACTACCAGTACTGAGGGTTGAAGGGCTCACGGGCTTTCGGGGCTACAAGCCTGAAGATTTAGGGCTTGGGCACTAAAGCGGTTGGGTTTCTTACATATTTGTAGCTTAGGGTTGAGGGTTGAGGGCTTAAGCCTCCTAAACCCTAAACCCTAAACCCTAAACCCTAAACCCTAAACCCTAAACCCTAAACCCTAAACCCTAAACCCTAAACCCTAAACCCTAAACCCTAAACCCTAAACCCTAAACCCTTCTCCCCTTTGGGTCTTGGGGCCCTGGGCCGCCCTGGGCCCCAGGCAGGAGCCAGCAACACAGAGCCAGGCTGTGTAGACGCATCACCTGCCACGCCCGGCACTCAACTTAGGGTTTCGGGTTTCGGGTTTAGGGTTTAGGGTTTAGGGCTTAGGGTTTAGGGTTTAGGGTTTAGGGTTTAGGGCTTAGGGCTTAGGGCTTAGGGCTTAGGGCTTAGGGCTTAGGGCTTGGGGTTCAGGGCGCGTGCATTCACACAAGGGTCCCTGTGGTTGAGGGTTTGGGGCTCAGGGCTTTAGGGTTGAGAGTTTAGATATAAGTGCTGGGGTTGCGAAATCCAAAAAAAAAACTCCCTGAACTCCTAAGCTCTCAACCTAAACCCGTAAGCCCGCCCCCTGATCCCAAAACCCGAAAACTCTCCTAACCCTAAACCCTAAACCCTAAATCCTAAACCCTAAACCCTAAACCCCCCCCCCCCTACCATTGGAAATTCCTGGGTTCCAGAAACTCCTGGGTTCCATAGATGCAAGGTCCAGGCTGCGTCTCGGGAAGCCCTGTACCCTTCCGGGGTTTAGGGTAGAGGGTTGAGGGTTCAAGGTTTAGGGTTTGGGGTTGAGGGTTCAAGGTTTAGGGTTTAGGGCTTAGGGCTTAGGGCTTAGGGCTTAGGGCTTAGGGCTTAGGGCTTAGGGCTTAGGGCTTAGGGCTTAGGGCTTAGGGCTTAAGCGGCTTAGGGCTTAGGGCTTCGGGCGTAGGGGGCTGAAGCAACGCCAGGCTCGCGTCGAATGATTTGGCAAACAAGCCATTGGTTGCTTGATCAAGCCAAAGAATGGCTGCGTGGGATCTATTTGGGCAGTCGGTTGAGGGTTTAGGGTTTGGGGGTTTAGGGTTTAGGGTTTAGGGTTTAGGGTTTGGGGTTTGGGGTTTGGGGTTTGGGGTTTGGGGTTTGGGGTTAAGGGTTTTGAGTTTCGGGCTGAGGGTTTGGAGTTCGGGGTTTAGGGTTTCGGCTTGGGGTTGTAATGTGTCTTGACACGAACGACAAGAACCCGTTTTGCTCTTTGAAGCTTCGGCCTCTACTCAGAAGCTGTTTGACTTAGTAAGTCTGCTTAATATCCCGATAGACATCCTATGATCATCCCCTTACTAACCCTACTTGCTACGTCGACGGCACGGCTTCCTGAAACATATGAACATACGTAGAACGCTATCAGGGTTTAGGATTTGGGAGCTTCAGACTCTAGGGATTCGGACTTAGAGGTCAGGCGAGCCTAGCTGCCTAGCGATGCCGACACCCTCCAATACATGTCTAAACAACACCCCCTATCATAATCCCTACTAAGGACTGTTAGTATACAGGGGGAACATCCCAACCCTAAGCCCTAACTTCTGTCAGGGGGGAAAGGGGTCAACAATAGGGGCAAGGGCTTGCTCATCCAAAAACCCAGCCGCCCTACTTGGAAGCTCTTTTGACTTAGCAAGTAGGGCGGGTTAGCAGGATGGATTGTGAGATTTTGATAGGGTTTCTAGGGCACACTACGTAGACTTTCTAGGTCCAAATAGTAAACCTAAACAAGCAGATCCTGGCCGCGTCGAGCTTAATTGGGGCTTCGCACGCTTCTCGATCTTGAGCCCTAAACCCTAAACCCTCAACCCTCAACCCTAAACGCTATACGCTAAACCCTAAACCCCTAAACCCTAAACCCTAAACCCTAAACCGTAGGGCTTGGGCCAAGCGGAGCCCTAAACTCCCATGCGCTGCGCGAGGGCTCGCGTAACCTGAAGCCGGGCCTGAAACCCTCTAAGCCCTCGGGTTTGGGGTTTAGGGTGTAGGGTTTAGGGTTTAGGGTTTAAGGTTTAGGGTTTAGGGAAGTTTAGGGTTAGGGGTTTTGGGTTTACGGCTTATGGTTTAAAAATAAACCCTATGATCATGCTCAAACCCCTTTAAGCCCCAAATAATCCTACCAACCCCCCCCAGCCGACACATGAAAAAGGCGAGGGCATTTATTTTTCCTCAAAAAGACCTCCCCAAACTTCACTCTGCACCGGGCTGAGCAAAGGACCAGCGGTCGAAAGGTGTTATTTCTGGGCGTCGTTTGGGCCCGCAGCTGAAAGTCAAACCTTCACTGACTCCGGCGGGGAGCCTGGTCCTTCTTAGGGTCCGAGACTTCCCCCGGCTGGCGTAGCTCAGCTTGGGCTTCTTGGGGCCTTCTTGGGAGCTCGGAGGACCCGAGTACAGGGGCAGAGGTTGCCTTCTCATCACCCAGGTGGACGACCTTGCGGCCCAAGATGCGCTGAAGGGGTGAGAACCCTAAGCCCTGAACCCTAAACCCTAAAAGGGTGGATGAGACCGGCTCACACTAGAACCCAAGGGGTTCGTTTTTCAAGCCTGTCCCCCCCACCCAGAACAGGGCTATCCGGGTCGACGCAGCGCCCCCAAAGCCCGAAAGCTAGGGGTGCCCCTCCCGAACTCTCAGCCCACACCGGCACCGAGAAAGCGCCTGCTCGGTGCAACGGAGGGCCGTGCCGCCATGCCGTCTACTCAGATTTTTGGGCCAGCAGTAAGGGCTTCATCTCGGATGGGGACTATCAATACAAGACACGTGCACGGACCCAATGCCAATCTTCTAGGCTCTCGCAGGATCCAGTGCCACACTAACTGGCGCCGTTTTGGCGAGAGACATTAAAACATCCTGCCTCGCGGGTAAACGTGGCTGCCATGTTGGCGGGCAGGAGCTCGCGCGCGCATGGCCTTCGAGAGCTGGCACGAGACAGACCTGACAATCATCCCAGGGCAGTATAGGCAGGGTGTGCCTCAGGCATACTTCAAAGCCCCGTTCTGCGAGGGCGGGGACCATCTTAGGGGCATGTCATGTGTCAAACACGGCCGTGGGTCAAAGGAGCCTCATGATTGCATGTCCGGCTTCACGGATGCATGTTAACCCAGGCGACTACAACTTGCTGGGTCCCAGCCGACACATCCTGTCTGCGTGGCTACCTGCCTGCATGGCGGGCGTGTCTGAAGCGATGCACAGCACAAGGACCACAGTGGCGGCGGGCACGACGCGCCGCTTGATCATCGAGCCGCCGCGCGGACGCCGCAATGCACGATGCTCTGAAGGGCCTAAAGCCACCCTCGGACAGGCCCTGAACCCCCTATGCACCCTGCAGCCGCCCAAAGAAGCCCAGAACTCCATGCTTCAGCTTCGGCGAAGCAACGAAGGCTGGCAGAGGGCTCCTTGTCGCAAGTTCACGCTGCCCTAGACCAAGGTCAGCCAGCGTCCTTTCAACGCACACCCACAACAGCCGGCTGCCCCGACCTCGGCAGAGAACACCCCGTGCTAGCATCCTAGCTGTTCCAGCTCTCTGTTTTTGGGGGCCACGTGTGGTTTGAGGTCTTTGCTGCACGCCAGGGGGAACGCCAGGGGGAAAGGCTGCGCACTACAACGTTGCAGCATTCACCTTGGCATGGCCCACCAGACTGAAATCCCAAGACACTTCCAACTGACTGAACAATCCTCGAGACCGACATTCACCAGAAACACAGCCGGGCTCCGATCGTTTGGGTGCGATCTACCCGAGCCCGATGAGGCATGACAGGTATCCGGTCGGAGGCAAGATGAAGATTGGGTCGGGCACTCGTGCTCGGAACCGCACAGCGGACCTGCAACTTACGGCAAGGTGCTGAGCTGCTCTGCCACACAAGGCCGTCTGCGGCCTGAGTGTCAGGACACAACAGAAGCGCTTAACTTGGCTTGACTGTCGCAGAACCCTGACAGAAGCCACGAGCGATCATCCCTGCGCACTTGAAAGAAAGCACGCTGGCTGCCGAGACGCACAGGACGATTTCAGGAACAGGGCATCGCATGCTCGGCTTGGCTTGTACGTGAGGAGCCCAACCCCTAAGCCCCAAAAGCTCTGAGGTCTTCGTAGCTTCCTGTAAAAAAAGGAGCCAAAACGTGATCGGACACGATGCAGCCTTCTGAGGGGGATAAAGAGATGCCATCCCTACCCAACACAAGGGGCCATGCCCAGCAAGTTCCCTCTCAGTGGTGCCGCGGCTGCACATGTTACCTGGGGGGACTTAAAGCTTAGGGCTTAGGCTTTAGGGTTTAGGGTTTAGGGTTTAGGGTTTAGGGTTTAGGGCCGAGAGGACCCCGATACCCCATCCCCAACGTGATCTGACTAGGGGGGCTGGGAAATGGAGCTGCCAGTGCCTGACGTCCTTGCAAGCTGTCATAGCCGCGACTCCGGCGTCTGTCAGGATGCCCAGACGAAGAAAGAAAAATGGATTTCCATGCGGCACATCAGCACCCGAGACCCTGCCTTCCCCCACTTACAAAAGCAGGGGGGATGCTACCCCCCTCAACCCTCCGGTTTTACTTGGCAAGCTCTGGGCTCAACAGGATGCTGGCCTGGGATTTCCGAGTATCACGAAAGCTCAAATTTCAGGGCACGGGAGGGGCTGGTAGATGTTCAGAAGGCTTGGGCACTTCGTGCCCTGCAGCGCCGATAGACCTCACAGAGAGGCGGTCGGACGTCGGAAGGAGCTGAATTTAGGGTTCAGGGGGTTCAGGGGTTTACCACGGTAGTGGCAGAGCACATTGAAGCAAGCAGCGCAGCTTCGTAGAACCTGAGTCTGAGTGTCTTCGTTCGGTTTAGAGCTGCGTTGCTGGAGTAGAGTGCTGCAGTGCTGCACAGGTTTGGGGAGCTTCTATGAAAGTATAACTTTGTCTCAAGCTGCAGGGATATCTGCCGTACAGCAGGCCGGGCAGCGCGAGCCGCAGCAAGCTGCAGCTGAGGTTCCGGGCCAGGTTGGGGGCCATCCTGACACCCTAGGGTTTAGGGTTTAGGGTTTAGGGTTTAGGGTTTAGGGTTTAGGGTTTAGGGTTTAGGGTTTAGGGTTTAGGGTTTAGGGTTTAGGGTTTAGGGTTTAGGGTTTGGACGCTTGGAGGAGGCGGAGCCCCTTTCTCGCGAAGCCTTGGCAGCCGGAGCCTCAGGAGCGCCTGAGGTGTTTGCAGGGCATACCGCTGACAAAGTTGATCATGAAGCAGCTCCACAACCCCTACTTGGAGGTTCATGGGACTTAATAACCACTTATCACTGGGCTTATAACCCTACTTATAATTGGGATAACCCCTACAATAGTCTCAGTTGACAGCAAGAGTATCGCATTGCCAGCTTTGGGCCCTCTAGGTCATCATTTGGAGTCGGCCAGCAGGCTTCACGGACGGCGAAAAAGCCGGACAGAGGGCACCGGAGCCGCACAGGCGAGCGCAAGGCTCTCGCAAGGCCAGGACGCCAGGCAATTCCAGCGCACAGATGGCATACTGTTCCTTCTCAGTCTGCTCATTGTTGCCCTTGCATGCAAGGGACTCTTCAACTCCAGCTTGGGGGGCTCTTTAGAGCCCCCTTAAAGAGCCCTCTCTGATCACCTTAGAGCGGCTTGAGAGTGCGGAAGGGACACCATTCTACGTGAGGCTTCCTAAAGCCCTAAACCCTAAACCCTAAACCCTAAACCCTAAAGCACCGGAAGGAGGAGCTGCCGATCAGCAGCCTCCCCTCAGCCAGCGCAGCTCCTGGCGGCGAGCATCGGCCGAGGATTCAGACCGGCTCCCCCAAACGTGCGGTTCAGGGAAGCCCTAAACCCTAAACCCTAAACCCTAAACCCCTGAAAATCCTAAAGCCTGGAAGCAAGTCGTTGTAACCAGAGCTTCCAGCAGGAAGCCGCCATCAGGAGCATCGGCGCCCGAGGCGCCAAGGACACAAGGGTCTAGGGGCTCAGGGAGGTTTCAGGGGTTTGGGTTGCGTTGTTCCCCCCCTAGTACAAACAAACCTCCTACTGTTTTTTAGGGGGATGATAGTGACCCCCTCTTATCTCAGGGGGAACATCCCAAGGTTTGGGGGTGGCCCGCCACAACTCTGCCCGAAAGCCCCTCTTTCCGGCAATGCTTCGGCCACGCGCGGCGCTGACCAAGCCACGGAGTCGGGTGTCAGAAAGCCAAGCTTTATGGGCCGAAGCCCTAAGCCCCCTAAGCCCCCTAAGACCCCTAAGCCCCCTAAGACCCCTAGACCCTCATCTACCGGATGTTGTTCCGGTTGAGAGGAGGCCCCCCCCCCAAGTAAGAGCCTCATGATCATCCTTAAAAGGCCTACACCTCCAGCCTTAAGCGGCTTAAGCCTCCGGTGGCAAGCGGAAGTTTCAGTGCTGCTCTCGGCCCTCGAAGGCAAGGCAGAGCCTCAGGCCGCAGGGCCCTGTTTAGGGCATTTGAGACCCTCTTTTTGGGAGGGGAGTGTGAGGTTTCAGTTTCGGAGGGTTTTTAGGGCTCCTTCGGAAATCTTGGCTTAAGTTCAGCAGGGTTGTCAGGCCTTGAGTGGCTGCTCTTGGCGCAGACCGCGTGAGCGCGACGTCTACGACGACCCATTCAGAGACAGGCCTCTGCTTCAGCAACGCGTGGCTGAGAGGTAACCCCACACCCCAAGGAAGCCTTAGACCCTGCGACTTTCAAGCCTTCAACCCTAAGTAAACCCTAACAAAACCCCGAGATTGCTTGCAGATGCTCGGGCAGGCCGAGGCCGAGGATCGGTCGGAAGCCAAATGCATCCTCTGTGACGTCTGATGCATGAAGTGAACGCGCTATTGCTGGCTCAATATGGGGACCATCTTCTCCCCATGTTTAGTTAGGAAAACGATTTCTCCCCCATATCTGGTAGTTGGACCATTTCGCCGACAGAGGCCAAGATGATAGCTGCTTTGAGCGGGAACGCCCTCAGCAAGTGAACACCAAGGAACTGATAGGGGCTTTAGGGGTGCTGGGCTTTTGGCGCACGAAGGCAATGGGTGGGCAAAACGTCATGCCCCAAAAACAAGCGAGACGTCGCGAGGCTCCTCATGCCAGGCCAAAGATATACTTGCAGGGCTCTCTAAGTTTACGACCCTTGCTCCCTAAACCCTAAACCCCAGTGTTAAGGGTACCCAGAAAGGGACACCGGAATTTCGAGAGTTGACCCTTTTCACAGCACGCTTGCGCCTTCTCCTCCCACGGCCGCTGGATCTACGCCAAGTGAGCGGGGCTCAGAGACGCCAGCTACCCAAGACCCCCAAGACCGACAAGACCCCCACGACCCACAAGACCCCCTAGACCCCCAAGACCCCCTAGACCCTAAACCCTAAATCCTCAACCCTCAACCCTAAACCATCCTAAACCCTTGAACCCTAAACCGCCTGAACCCTTGAAAAGTCCAAGGCAGGAGTTCATTGTCGCTGACGCCCCGGTCGGAATGTTTCAGGCGAAGCTCCTGGATGCTGTGGGCCTTTGAAGCAGAGGGTTTAGGGTTTAGGGTTTAGGGGTTTAGGGTTTAGGATTTACGGCTACCGCCTCTGCATACACAAGTACCCTTCAGAGGTCCGAAGAGCGTGAACTAGGCATTGCGCACTTCGAGGGGCAGTTGTAGGCACCATGGGGGCGTGCTGGTCAGTTTTGAAAGTGATGGCACCAAATTCGGAAAGTTGGCCGCGCAGACACCTACGGGCATTTTAGGGTTTAGGGTTTAGGGTATGAGGGATCCCAGGATTGCCGTGAGCTTCATTGCTGAGACTGCTGCCCAAGGCTCAGATACGATGGCCTAGTAGGTGAGATCATGCCAGGGCTGAGTCGGTTCCTGAAAACTGCGCGCTGACTACACACCTCAGCTGCTTATGCCCTGAGCCGTGCTCAGCAGCCTCTCCTGGACTCTACAGACTTCCGGGAGCAGTAACTGGAGTGCTGGGTGCAGGCAGCAGGGTGTCTTTCATGGGAGCTGGCTACATCCTTGTGTGTGTGTGCTCGAAACCTGGATCATTGGCCGCTGGGAATGCGATGAACCACATTGGCTAAAGGGAGACCACGCAGTAGATGGGAACCAGGAAACTATTGGTCTTCTTCCAATGGACATTCGTCGCGGCGAAGCTCGTGGAAGAGCTGCTGAGAGCTCACAACCTTCAAGAACATCCTTCAAAGGGATTGGGCGCCAAAGAAGGCCTCAGCCAGACTCCAGAGCACGGTCATGCCAGACTGGAGAGCGAGAAGCTCTCACTCCACGCATCAGGCTTCTGCTTGGCAGCCGATGGGGTTGGGGTCTTAGGAGTCTTAGGGTTTAGGGATCGTCCCATGGGCGGAGCTGCGCCAACAAAAGGGATACGGCCCGAAGAGACGTGGGTCCCAAAGGAACCGGCAAAGGGCTCTATCAGGCTCTGGGAGCCCCTCTACACGGTCCCTCAGTGG